CAGGTGTTGGCCCGAGGTCGTTTTCACTAAACCACGTTTTACTAAAGGGGTGTTTGTCCATCCCCGAGTTTGCTGTGATCTTGCAAGCCAGGGGCTTCTGCGACACGGAAGGGGGTGGCTCCCTGGGGCATTCCCAGGCCTTCGTGGAATTGGGACCCTCGATGGACTGGAGAGTATGGCATCTCATGGGAAGAACTGCTCACGCTTCGCGTACCCCCACCAGCCCGTTCCGAAGCCCTGCCCACGAGAGCTGACAGGAAACTGGACGACGTGACACTTCTAGTGAAACAAAGCGGGCAACGAGGAGGTCGCCCCGGTTACAGCTCTTCGGGCGAGTCAGGATCGAACATGGGCATGAGCTCATCTCCCGCTCCACGAGAGAGGTCAGTTGCTAATCTGTGTAAGTGGTCGGGCCAGCAACGAAGCCCACTGCCGAGTCTTCGCGCACCGCCCGGGGCCACACGACAGAGGAGCCCCCGCGAGACGCACAGGCAGGCTGGTCGTCGTCGTCTTGCTGCCTTCTGTCAGGTTCCTCGCTGGATTTAGCAGGCAAGGTGCAAGGCCCCACCTGCCGAAAGACCTGCTGTGCCCGAGCCTTGGGCCCAAGTGAGACCTGAATAGGGTAGTGCACACGGGGTGGGAAGCCACCTACAATCTCTGGGTCCATCATGACCCCAGCGAGGCCATCACTGGCGAGCCAGAAGTCGATGCCGATGTAGTTCCCTGAGCCAGGATCTCTGCACGCGCCCTCAGCGGCGGCGACGATGCGTGCATCCAAGCGCTCAGCAATCGCAGGCGAACTTAGTCAACAGGATGGAAATTCCAGTCCAGGCCGTAGTAGCTGAGGCAGGCGTGAGCCTGGCCGAGCTGGCACCACCCAGCTTGAGGCCTTGCCCGAGATGCAAGGAGGCAGCGATACAACCTCCACGTAAGCTTGTCTGCACAATTGCAGCCACGCAGTGGCCAGGTACAACCACATGAGAAGGCACGTGGGCGATCAGGTTGACCACCCCGATGTTTCTTCTGATGACAAGCCCGACGCCAGCAGAAGGTTTTCTAGCGTTCATAATGATGTCGTCGCGTCGGTGATGGATGTTTTCCAGCCATGCGTCTGGCACCGCTCCTCCGCCTGCATCCGACTGTTGCCTGCAAGGTGAATCTTTCGTGTTGCCACATTGCTGGCATGTCGGACTCGGTGAAGCAGATCTCGGGCCCCAGGCCAGCCCGAGCCGTTGAAAGTATGTTTCGTCCTGTCCTTCCCCTTCGCTCCACAAAGGCCACGTCGGGAGCGCACCGCAGAGCCGTGTCCTCCATTGGAAAAGGTCGCGGCGGTAGGCGAGGAAGTAGTACGTGCGTGAGCCAAAGCGGCACACGATAGCCTCTGGCCTCTCAAGTGTTGTTGGGGCCCAGCATGGACAACCTTTGAAGCGAGTTGTAGCCTCACGCCTCCAACGCTACTCAAGGTTGTCTGTGAATTACTCAGGTCATCACGCGTCGTGCCGATCTATGTTCCTGAGGAGGTTTTAAGGAAGGACGTAGAGGAAGTGGACGTCAATAACCTCTCGCCACTTGGACGTCCCAATGGACATGCAGTCGGCAACTCTGTCTCCCCATGCTACTGACCAGGGTCGAACGCATGTATTGAGCCGTCACTGCATGTCTTGGGCATGTCGAATACCGCCAACATATTAAGTAGTTCCCTCCCCCCTGGCGCCGTCGCCGTCTCGATCAAGGTCGGGTATGGCGGAGTCCCATGCTATAGGTGCACCTTGGCAGGCGTAGTACGCGAATGGGAAGCAGCGCTAGCCTGGGCTGACCTGAACGAAGCGGAGGCCGCCTTCAGCTCTAGTGTGGGTGCCGAGGGAGTAGAGCATGGGTCCTTGATTGCCCTCGGTGGTAGGGAACGGCCTGCACAATGCGCTCAAGCCTGTCCGCCGCGTCATATAGACTGCTGCTGGGCGTGCTCGCACTGCCACCGCCTCCGCTGGCCATGACCGCGGTTCGGTCCACGGTGATTTCAACATGGATCTGATATAGCTCTGCAAAGGCCAGCAACAGTTCGTTGGACTTCGTGCCCTTCTCAAATTTGAGCTTGTTCGCCTTTGCCTGCAGAGCCATGACCTCACGAGTCTTGGCCGATGGACGGTCCAATGCTCGACGAAGGAGGTCGCCTGGTGATCGCTGAGCACGTTCAACTGCCTCAGCGTCTGCACAGTCTTTCTTGGCGGCAACCACGTAAGGCACCGTGTTCCGAGCTCTGAGATATCAGTTTCATCTTTGTGACGAGTCCCTTTTTGGCACAGATGCCTTTCGGGTCATAGAAGGGTGGGCGCTGCGAACGAGCTGGTGGAGCCTGCGGATCAGGCTACCCGTTCTCAAGTCTTCCACACATGTCGCACTTTTGATTTGAATTGAAATTGCGAGCAACACCACTGGCGAGTGGCGATGCACGTCCATCTGGGTTCTCTCCCCGCATCTTTTCCACGCCTCCCATTGCCCGTCATTAACGTGGGCGCTCGTGAACCGTGATGGGAAGCAACAAGACGGCGGCTCGCTTCCAGTCTCAAATCCCACTTGGCAGAACTTCTTTGCCGTCGCTCGCGACGGTGCCAAGCAGGTGATCTCGATCTGGACCTGGCCGCGGCCGTACTTCGCAATGCCGAAGCAGTACCGCGCGAGGCAGTAGACGACCAAGAGTGCCCGAGAAGGCGCAGCCTATCGCGGCGGAGAGCACTCTGCTGGGGGCAGGTTCAGTTTGCGGTGTGCTTGGGGCAGACCTTTGACCCCATAGGAGGAGAAGGAGGAGGAGGAGGAGAGGGAGGAGGACGATGAGAGGAAGGAAGAGGAGGAGGAGGAGGAAGAGGGCAAGCAGAAAGGTCAGGTTCCTTTTGGATGTCTCTCGGAGTCTCTTTGGATGTCACTTGAGAGCTTCTTGGGGTCATACTGGGGCGGCTTGGGGGCTTCTTGGCGGTACCAGGGGCCTTGTGTAGCGTTTTGGGCCTTGGGAGAGCCTCTTGGGCCCTCGTAGGGGTCTTTTGGGAGCCTCTTCGGGACCTCTTGAGGCCTGTTGGGGCCTCCTGGGCGCCTCTTGGATCCCTCCTGGGGCCCTCTTGGGGCCGTCTTGGGACACCCTTGGGAGACTCGGGGAGCCATCTTAGTGGCGATCAATCAAAGCATCGGGAGGTACGTACTAAATTAGGGCCCCCCCCTCCTGGAGGCCAACACGGTCCCAACACTGGAAAAAACAATGATTGTGGCCTTCTCGCCGGCCATCTTGGACGCTCCAATCGGTTGCCGCCCCCCTCATCCAGGTCCAGGGGGGGGTTAGGGTCCGGGAGGGGGCAAGATACCCTCCCTGCCCGCAAGTTGTGTCGATCACTCCCACCCGACCTCCCAACACAGAAGTAGCATCCCGGGCCACGCGTGCAAGGCGCTCCAGGTGCGCCAGGCACCCCTGGGGCCCAAGCGTGCCAGGCACGCCTTGCGCGCCAGATGCGCCACGTGCTCCACGTGCGCCACGTGTGCCGCATGGTCCAGCCGCGCCAGGTGCGCCACGTCCGGTGCACGCGCAGAGTGTGCCAGGAACGCCCGCGCACGTGACAGCACGCATCGGGAAACGTGCCGGCCCCCAGCGTCCTTGTCGGAAACCAGTGCGCAATCGCGGCGGGGAGGCCATCATCCTGTCTGGTGGGCCTGCCCATAGCAGGCAATATGCCACCATCTCCGCGGTCCTTGTCAAACAATAGAACAATTGATCGCGGGCTGGCCGCGCATGATCAAGATTTAGCTGCGAAGTGTGTGTGTGTGTGTTGTATTGTGTTTTTGTGGCAGGAAAGGTGGCCTTGCGCAGAGCAGACAATTTGAGGGCACCCCCGCCGTCCTGGTCAACAAAACAATACAACGTGCTCGGGGGGCCCACGAGCATGACCCAAGATTTTGCCCCAAAGTGTCTGCTTTTTTTACAGGGACGAGAGGGGGATTGCATTAGCCCTGGTTGGCTGCTGGTCGCCTGGGGGAGTGGGTGCTGACTAATAGGGAACAGTGATAAATCCCTTCCCGAAGGGGAAGCAGGGGCATGGAAGAGGAAACGCTCTAAACCGCTCACGCCCTAAAGAGCTGATGGGGTTCCGGTAGGTTCGCGTCGTGTCGACTGGCGGCGACCCCGCCGCCTGCATTCAACGTTGAACGCCGCCGGCGACCCAGAATCGGTGGATACTCGGGGCTCAATAGACGGGGGTCAGTGCAAACGGGGGTCAGCCAGAGCGCCAGATTTTGCAGAATCCTGCAGGGCCAGGGTCGCACCGACCCGGGTTGGGGTGCAGGATCCTCTATGATTTTGCAGGATCCTTCGCATTGACCTGGGTTTGGGCGCAGGATCTTGCAGGATTTGATGGATTCTGCAAGGCCTGACTGACCCAGGTCTGGATTGACCCTGGTCAGAAGATCCCCGAGATGTTGAACGATTTGACGTTTCGGAAACAGCCGATCGTCCACGGTTAAACGATCCCCGCGGTGACGGGAACCAGCGCCGGGGTCCTAAACAGGCGCCCCGCCTCGCAGGACACCCCCGCGCCTCTCTTTCTCCCTCTCCTCCGCCTCCCCGTCCTCGTGCTCCTCCTCCTCCTCCTCCTCCTCCTCCTCCTCGGCCTCGTGCTCGCCCTCCTCCTGCTCCTCCTCCACCTTCTCCTTCTCGTCCTCGTCCTCGTTCTTCTCGCCCTCGTCCTCGGTCGAGGTTTTAATCGATCTGCCTCCCTCGGCGCCAGAGAAACCAGCGCCGAAGCCGGCACGGCACGAGCCTGCCGCAGGCCGGGCAAGGCTTCCGGGCGCCCCGCGAGGCCGCCCGCGCCTCCAGCGTGTGCTGGGGCCTGGCGGGCGCGGGCCGCGTGCGGCTCCTGCCGCGGGGCGGCGCGGCCTCGGAGCTGCCGCTCGGGCCCGGCTGCAGCGCCGCAGTGCCTCCGGGGCTGCCCTACGAGCTGGTGGGGCCGTGCCGGTGTTGGGAGGCCACGGCGGCGGCGGCGGCGGCGGCGTCCCGTGGCGGGTGGGGGGCGGCCACGCCGGGGAGGGCCACGACGGCGGCGTCGTCGTCGTGGCCGTCGTCGTGGTCTTGGTGGTGGTGGTCGTCGTCGTCGTGGCCGTCCTCGTCGTCGTCGCCTTCGTCTTCGTCGCCGTCGTCGTCGTCGTGGCCGTGGTCGTGGCCGTCGTCATCGTCGTCGTCGTCATCGTCGTCGTCGGCGTCGTCGTCGATATACTCATCGTCTCCGTGGCCGTGGTCGTCGTCGTCGTCGTAGCAGTGCCAGCTGCCCCTGCAGGGATGGCCGTGCACCGCCTCCATGGCTCGGGTCGCAAGCCAGCGGAGGTTTTCGGGCGGACGTCTTGGATCGGCGCTGGAACCCCGTGGCGGCTCCTCTGGCGCCGCCACTAGCGCGCTCCGCGCGCCAGTAATCAAGAAAGTCGCGCGAACCTCCGACATCTCGTGGTTATGCAATTTCTTAGTCTTGAATTGTCAGAGTGAGGGGGCCAAACGGTCTTGCACCGTGCCCAAGAGCGTGGCTGCAGTGGAGTTCAGCGGCGCGGGTTCTATTCAGTTGGTGTTGTTTGTTGTTGTCGATTGTTGTCGTCGAACCCGCCCGCGACGCAGCGGCGACACACCCCGCGACCCACTCTGCGTCCGCCTCCTCACTTGTAGTTCGCCGCAATTGCGGGGTGCTACGTAGAGTGGGGATGTTCAACCGAGGTCATCCGCCACACGGGCTGGCACATCCGTATCCCCCATCCGCCGCATAATGATTGGCTTGCTCCAACTACTCTCGGAGCAACCACTGCTGGTCATTTTGAGCATCTCGCCTCCAGCCCTTCTGCTAATTGCGCCTCCTTTTTCTTCCTCCGTCGTCCTCATCTCACATCTTCCTCACCATCCTCATCCTGCCCCACGTGTTCATTCCATCATTCTAGCGTATTCCTTCTCCACAAAATTCGGCCTTCTCCACTTCATCCCTTCTTTCCGCTCCTCTCCCATTCCAACCATTCCCTCCTTCATATACACATATACACTCTCATCCCTCGTCCCTCCTCCTTTCCATCTTCAACCCTGATCCTCCCTCTTCCCTGTTATCCCTCGTCATCATTTGTCATTGTTCACCCATGCCTCCTCCCACCTCCCGCCTCCTCCCCCTGCCCTCTATCCCTCCTCCTGGACCCCTCGGCATCCTACTCCATACTCTTCCTCATCCTCCTCCTCCTCAGCCTCCTCCTCCTCCACCTCCTCCTACTCCTCCTCCTCCTCATCCTCCTCTTTCTCCTCCTCCTCCTCCTCCTCTCGGCATCCCTAATCTCCTGGACCCCCCCCGAAGCCTCCAGAAATCGTCTTCATCTGCCGACTGCATCTCTACATCCCAACCAACCCCAAAAGTTGTCAAAGACCTCATTATGCTTTATTTCCTCCTCCTCCTCATCTCCCTTCTCCTCCTGCTCCTCCTCCTCCTCCTCCTCCAGGAAGAGGCACACGATGCTTAAAGAAGAGGGCGTTGAGGCCGAGTAGGCTTAGGAGGAACATTGAGGATGACCATCACATGGCTGATGAGGAGGCCAAGGGTTGGCCGACCCGACCCCAATTGGGCAGAGCTCTCCGCCGCCTTCGCTGGGCAAGGGGGGGAGGGGTGGGGTCAAGCTAGGTGCGCTCGCGTCATATCTGACATCCTACCCCTCCCTCCCATCCCTTCCCATGGCGCAGATCCCCTCTCTACGCGCACAGTCGGATGTCGAGCAGGGCAATGATCCCGAAAGGGTACGCGATGCATTGTAGAGCACGGCATGGCATGGCGCAGAAGAGCACCGCGAAGCGTAGTATCAACCTAGCATTGCATTGCATGCCGTGTCATGGCACGGGAAAGGACGCCAGCGCTGCAGCGGGAGCACGAGTCGAAACGAGCGGAAGCGCGGAAATGAGGCCAGCGCTGCAGCGGGAGCACGATTCGGAACGAGCGGAAGCACGCCGGAATCGGCCCGGGAGGCTTCCCGGGCGCCAGAAGCAGAAATTCAGCATTTTCAGAAGAAAAATATGTATTGGAATGGCTTTTTTCGGCGCCGCCTCGGAACTCGATTATCCGGCGCTGACCGGAACCGGCTCCGGAGCTGGCCTGGGCGCCGGCCCGGGCGCCGGCTCGGGCGTCCGGCCCGGGCGCCAGCTCGGGCGCCGGCCTGGGCGTCGGAATCGGCCCGGGAGGCCTCCCGGGCGCCGGAAGCAGAAATTAGCATTTTCCAAAAACAAATGTGTATTAGAATGGCCTTTTTTCGGCGCCGCCTCGGAACTCGATTTTCCGGCGGCGGCCGGAACCGGCTCCGGACCCGGCCCGAGCACCGGCCCGGGCGCCGGCTCGGGCGCAGCCCGGGCGCCGGCAGAAAAATGATGCCAGCGCTGCAGCGGGAGCACGATTCGGAACGAGCGGGGCCCGAAAATAAGGCCGGCGCCTCAGCGAGAGCAGCATTTTGGAAACAAAGGCTGGCGAAAACCCAACTCCGGGGAAACCTGTGCGTAAAAAAACAGTGCGCGGGGGGGGTCGAATACTCCCAAGCCGTCATCAGGGGAACAGGGAGAGTAGTAACTTTAAGGGTAGCTCTTTGGGAGATGTTACAGTATCGGGAGCATAGCTCGCGCGCCGTTGCCTTTGGCCCAAGGCACGCGCGCCCTATTTGCCCGGACACCGCGAGTGTTCGCTATGTGCTGGAAAGATCACTACATCGATCTTATCCTATCTTATCCGTCCACCCCTCATACTGTACTATCACAGCAGAGCGATGGACGCTATTTGCCATCCGATGTCTATCATGGAATCGGATGCTATTTGAGTTACCAGGCTCACTTTCGACTTGGTAGCGGAGCTGGCCGCACTCTCGTGTGGTCAGCTCTTGCTCTTCTTAGCCTCATATTCTTCGGCACGATCTTCGTGACCACCTACCACCCTGCGCCACCACTCCCAGTACGTTTACGAGGATCTATCCAAGAGCAAAAAGCGACACGAGAGGTACGACGTCTAGACGACCAGATTGGTACCATATACGCTTCATCATTGCGTTACCACCAACCGCTCGGCAACGAGCTAATAGCGCAATACTTGAAGCAGGGGCGGGGAGACCCGCCAGATAGAGCGCCTCGAAGACTCGACAAGGCGCTACCCCAGCGCGGCAACGCGCCTAATAACCGTCCTTCTCTACACATTCTCGGGCTAGTCGTTTTCGCTATTATATGGTTCGCGCTGGGGGCAGCAATCGGACACATGCGTCGTGGAGAAAACAGCACCGATGGGCAAACACATGGCCCATATTGGGACCCTCAAGGTAATGTACCTTTTCGTGAGTACATCTACGAGGTCAACGCATGGCTCAACGTTACAAGCGGACGTATGACGCCACAGGCCCAAGCGGCCGCAATACAACGCGGCCTAGGTGGCCTAGCGAGGACACTCGCCATGAGGGTACCGCCTGACATTATAAACTATGGTGCTGACATCGATGGGGTCCACACCGACCCAGTGACCTACATCATGTTCCTCCTAAGCATGAAGTTCGAACGCCTGGAAGATGAGCGCCAGCTCACTTCCGGCACACAACTCATCGACTTCCACGTGCCTCACGGGGAACGAATCGACGTCACCCTTACCCGATTCGAAATGGCCCGACTTGAGGCACAGTCGGTGGGATTCGACCTTCCCAACTTCCAACTGCTAACCACTATCCTATTCCGCGCCTTAGGCGTCGGCAACCAGCGAGCCATGCAACTCTTACAGCCACTCAATCACCAAATGCCCCGAACACAACAACAGTATGATGAGTTGCTGGAGAGGATGCGTTCGATAGGCCACCTATCTGAACGGTCTCCTGGTAACATAGGATCTGTGTTTGGAAGGGGAAGGGGATCTGGTAGTGGAAATTTCTACACTACCTTGACTACTGAAGCCCAGCCTGGAAACGGGCCCTCAAGCATATGGGCCGATGATCCTGGAGAATCCATTGCTTTATTAGCAGGAGATCGATCACAACCAAGCTGGGCAACCAGCCCTCCTTCTAGAGAACCACAACCACACCGTTCTTTATGGGGGGAATCAAACCCCCTAACCGACGGTGTATCCACCTACTTGGGAGACGAGGATTTCGACTCCGGCACTGATACAGACACTATATCATCAGATGGTGTTGAAGCTTTAGATTGGTCAGATATCATGAATATGGATAACGACAATCAGCGTGCTGAACATTTGTTCTGGTTATTACAACAGGCTAAACGAAGGTGGGGGAGGTTCACACGAAAACCAGTGCGTCGTGTTAGAAGGAGGATACGGAGAAGTTTTAAAGGAAAAGGTAAAGGTAAGCGAGGTCGTCGGAGGTTGAACGGGCGAGGCATCGCGGCATTTCTCCAGAGGCTCTCAGATGAACAACATGATGAGATATTCTTCGGGGGAAAGGGCCGTGGCAAAGGCAGTAGAGAGACCTCAGGAAAAGGCAAAGGTAGGCGGGGGAACCCGCGAGGTAGAGACGGCCAGGTTCTTAAATGCCATGAATGTGGCAGTACCGATCATCTTGTGCGAGATTGTTCAATGAAGGGAAATGGAAAGGGCAGGTCGACCGAAGTCCATTTTGGCTCAAGTGAACCATTCAGTGAGTATCTGAGCCTCCAGGACTTTGAGGCTATGGAGCAGATATTTTTCACGTGGGTTAGCTGCATGGACAACGTCGACGAGCTCGAGGCGTATGGTCGTGGATTGGACGCGTACTACCTCGAGTATGTTCGCAGGTTCGTTGAGGGCAACAACGAGCTCACTCCCGTGGAACACGGGACGCTGGGAAACTACCCTTTATCTTTCTTCGACTGGATGTTCGGGAACCCAGGCAACATCATGGCCTACGAGAGCAGTGACGAGGACACTACTTTAGAGGCTTCGCCTTCCGAGGTTCAACGAAACCTCGAACCTCCGCCCGGAATCCCGCCTGGAAACAGGCCTTCTTT